TTAAACACGTCAAATTTTTTTTTTTTTTTTTTTTTTTTTTTTTTGTAATGTCTGTTTAAAATTTAAATATAGTAAGTTTAATCGTGTTGTATATAATATTATAAACGCTTGAAATCTTAACAATATAAACAATTATACAATTTTATTTCACGTTACCATATATACATGTCGTATTCTATTATAATGTGTTCGGTTTATTATAATATTGTTGTTAAATCAAGGTCGTATCTGAAAAAAAAAAAATGTCGATTGTAGAGGAAAGGGCAACGTTTTTCCTCCAATTGATTTAACGACCTCGGGTTTTTATCATTTTCCTAAAATTATTATATTGGTGAAAAAAATTCCGGAGCGTCCGGGCAATGTCCAGCGTTAATTGTTATTCTTTATTTTCGGTCTCATACAGTCTTCACGCCATCGAACGGTAATTATTAATTTATTATACTTTAGTAGCTGTTGATGCCAAACCACAATATTCATCCATGCCATTTATCCCTGTCTTTGGCCGCGTTGTTTTTTCCACGGTGATCCGCTACCAGATTCCTCACTAGACCATTTTCGAGAACGTTTGTCCATCGATTCCTGGGTATACCACGAAATCTCAACTTCTAAAGCTTCCGACCTATTATTCAATTATCCTCTCCTCTCATTGAGAGAAAGCCTAGCCATTTCAATATAGGTTGTTTATAATAGAACTGCAGGTTATCGGGTTCCAGTCAATCATGTCTCGTATGTTATTAATACCTATAATATTCGAAATGCCATAAAAAATGTTCTATACAATGTTTAACTGCAATAATTTTTCGTGAAAATCCTGAAAATCATTTGTGCCAGGACAGTCTAGAAGCCCACACTATCTCCGTATGTACAATCATGCCGACGCATTGTCACACATAATAGCCGCCCGATCGCAATTTGAATTCAAATCCCCTTGTATAAAATTTTTGCTATTGGTTTTCTGTTGTAATTCAGTTAGATTAAAATTGTAGAAACTAAACATTTTTTCCCAAATATACCGCAATTTTACCACATATAACCATTGAGCTTTAATATTCTCACATTTTTCTGTTCTATTAAACTTATACCTATTTGTCTTTTCTGAACTTGGTAAAATTTTGAAAAAAAACACGACAAATTTTGAGCTATTTATAGCAGAGATTGAAATCGGTTAAAACCGTTTACTGAATTAATTATATTTACCGGTTAAACTGGTATGTTTACATGGACAAAACGGGAAATTAAATCACAGTTTAATGGTTTTAAGAACAAAAAATATATGTAGATATCGATTATTTTCCGTTATCGAACAAAAAAATTGTGTATTTTTAAAGAATTGTTGATAAATTTAAATTTAAAATCGTAAAAAAAATGTTTTGTTATGCATTTTTGATACTATATTGTGTTGGTTACATTGTTTCTAGATAGTTCCGATTTGTTAATGTTATACATTAAACATTATTTTCTCTGATAAATATTTATTCGGAACTTTTTTTTAAACTTCAACTTAATAACTAAGATTCTATAATGATTAGAAGAAAAAACAGAAATCAATTAATTCACTTAAAGTCCTTCAAAAAAAAAAAAAAAATTACGATTGGATCTCCCTGGTTGTCCCTGTTTAATTATACTTACAAGATAACTGTAGAATACATCGTAAATATTTACGAGTGAAATATTTTCTTATCCGGACACTATAATATACTCGTACATATGATTATTATAATATTATTTTTTTTAGTACTCCCGACGACAAGGTCCTCACGAACAGGGACTTTCCGCTCCAGCTTCCGGCCGTATTTTATATTCGCGGTTAAATAATAAATTATAATAATGTAACCGTGTCCGACCTCTCGTTTGCGCTTAAGTGTTACCCACTCGACGATCATAATTATTATTATGATTACGTATGTACCTGTATTATGCCGTTTGCTGTAAAATAATGTATTCGAGTAATGTGTATACCTAAAACGAACAACCCCGATCGTGTCGTATCTGGTGTACGAATCTAGGGAAACGTTGCAACGGCTACTCTCAGTCGAATATAACATTATTCCCGTTTACGTGTTATAATGTTATTATTATACGCTGCTCGAGCATCGGAATGTTAATAAAACCTAGTGTCGTAAAACGCCTTTGGTCGTAAAAAGCCGTCGTCATCATCGGCCGTTCGACGAGTTTGATTAATATAAGACCGGTCTCCGCAAGCAAGTCGTTGTGACTTATATTGTTATTATTTACCTACTATATGGACAACGATTGCTACGAATAGCTCTGCAAAAAGTTTTTATTTTTTATTTTTTCATTAAACGCAATTTAAAAAATCAATACGAACGATATAATGTTCTTTCTTCTATACACGAGAGAAATAGAATCGACTGCGCATAATAGTAACAAGTTGTCAAGAAATATTGTCATTTATTTATATCTACGCAAAAATATCTGCGTATACCTAACATGACCCATGATAGCTAAACGAACTTAAATCAAGGTCGTTCGTTTTTAGTCGTTTTATATCCAGAGGTATGTGCAGTGGGAAGGTTCAGGATGATATTCTCACTGCTGTCGGTAAAAAAAAAAAAATGTATTTATTAACTTGGTTTGAATACAATAACTACGAGTACTTATATACTTGTATAGTAATTTTATCTCGAAATTATATTGTATACCAACCAAGTTACATAAGATAAAAAGCTTGATTTATTAAATACAAATTGACTCAACCGGGTCAAAAATCAAAAAAAATCGAAACTTAGTGGAGCATTGAAATGGACCTAATGATGACACATAAACCGCAATCGAATATTACGATACAGTGACGTGGAATGTGTCATACTCATACGCACTATCTACTTATTGTATTTTTAAACCATAAATTCATTCAAACATTATTATATTATTATATCGCTCATTGTTTACGAGAAATCACAAATTCGCAAATTTAGTTTGCTAGCTATTATTGAAAATCGACCCGGGGAATAAATTTGAATCACAAACACATACGTATATATTCTATATTACCATACGACACTTGAAAAACAATTTAAAATTAAAACTGGTGTTCTATGTTTTACGCGTAACAAATATTTGGCACACTTCCCCGAAACAATATAATATTACTAATAATTATTTTTGTTTACATTTTTCTTCATACGAATTTGACTTAACGACTAATATTATTATTTCGGTGACAAATGGAACAATTTTTATTATACCATACATAGGCCGTATACCCAGGACTATACTACAGAGTGCGATGTATACCTAAAAGTTATCTATTTTCTCATTTTAACGTATACTCAAAACAAAGTCGTATTTGCACCGGGAAAATACTAAAGCAATTAATAAACTTCCCAAGATCCAATTATTCCAGACGCGTTTGTAGATTAGGTTAGGTTATTACCAAACATGAAGTATTAGCAACACAATATCAATTTTGCCCAAAATTATCATAGAGTTATCAACTGGAAATAAAACACACAATACTCATGAAGGTTAAAATGCTTTTCGACAAAAAGGTCTTGAAGCTATTATTAATTTATTTAAAGATATTAATTAGATGCATTCAGTTCCAAAGAAGATCATAGAGTTATCGTGAGGTATTAGTATGTGAAAAAAAAATTGTGTTTGTCTATTATATAAAATCATCAGCTTAAGAACAAAACAAGCACGGATTTTTATATATTTCAAATTTGGAAACCTGAAACACACAATCTATAAAGCCATAATACGACCCGTCTGAACATATGGTATCCCAATCTGGGGTTCAGCCGACTTCTCAAATTTTAGAACGCTCCAGGCACTTCAGTTCATTTTTCTTCGATACATTTTCCCTACTCCCTGGTATATAATAAACAATAATTACCAAAAGTCCTCAAAATCAGCTAGAAGATTTCATTATTTCTTACTTCAATAAAAAACTCAAAATCATCAATATCCACCAATCAAACTTCTTTCTTCTATCACCATCCCCAACAATCCTAAAAGCCGACCGAAAAGATGACTAGCATCTTTATATTACATCTTTAGATACCTAGGTACTCTAGTCCCGCCAAATTACTTATTTAATTAATTAATTAAACATATTTTATCTCCTTCATCAAAGAAAAATGTGTGTATACTCAACGAATATTACTGAGTATTTTATGCTATGAGTGTTATACCAACGTTCAAAACACAATTCTCGAACAAACATTATATTTATTCACGGGGGAAAAAAATTAAATTAACCTGATTAAAACACGAATGGGTATAGGAAATAGAGAGTTTAGAAGTGATTTAGTTACCAGTATAAAATATTATACATAAGCGCATAACAATAATGGCATTCGTACACGCAAATGAACTTGACGTGTATAGAGTCAATTCGGTTTAAATTACAGACATTGTTGTGTTCGAAATGTGAGGCGGTCGATTTAAATGGATAAAGCTTAATATATATAGTTGAGTATTGATACCATATACGATCGTAATGTTTATTAAAATGATTTACTATATCTTCAAACCTTTGTTATGCGGTTGGTTTAATGTTTGTTTACACCCTGAATGGACCATCGATTGGTTTATGATATACGTGGTTCTTTACCTGTCTATAGTATGGGATATGGGCATGGTCGTATGAAGAGTTTTGGATTACCCGTACACCTACTCTAAAAACTGTAACGCTATATTTGGAAGACCCTATGTTGTTCAAGCTATTAAGAAGGTTTCACATACGCATCTACTGTCTCGTTACTGTGGCGTTCAGAATAAAATTGGAGTAACACCAATATTTCAAGATGAGAATATTTAATACAATTATTTATATAATTAAATATATTTTTTTTAAAAAGCGCCAACTAACATGATTGTAATATTTGTATAGCGTTTCTTAAAA